GAGGTGCACTAATATATGGGTATAAAGGTAAGAACTTAGGGGGACAGTTTATTTCTATGGATATTTAGCAGAATGATTTCATTAGGTTTTATGACCCATGGACCTTGCTACTTATAGAATTTTGGTTCAGTTAATGGTACCAGCAGCATGAGTTCCATCTTATGGAACAGATTTAAAATATGGTAATAAAGTGGTCTGTCACTGTCTTAGTTACTGTTCTGTTGTGGTGAAGAGACATCATGACCGGCACAACTCTTACAAAAGAAAGCATCTAATTAGGGACTTGCTTACTGTTTCAGAGGATTAGTCCATTATCATCATAGCAAGAAGCATGGAGGTAAGCAGGCAGTCATGGGACTGAGAGCTTTCATCCTGATGCACAGGCAGGCAGGCAGGGAGAGAGAGAAAGAGAGAGAGACAGAGAGAGAGAGAGAGAGAGAGAGAGAGAGAGAGAGAGAGAGAGAGAGAGACTGGGCCTGACAGTGACACACTTCCTCCAACAAAGCCACACCTCCTAATCCTTCCCAGACAGCTCCACTAACTGGGAACCGAGCATTAACACATATGTGCCTATGAGAGCAGCGCTCATTCTAACCACCACAGTCCCACAGTCACTATAATAACATCTGTATCGAACCAGAGCATATGTTGCTAAGGCGGTTGATCGCTTAGCCTTCAGTGTTCGCAGCTGGCCGGTGACTTTTCTTCCCTGGGATGACTTTTGTCCCCTGGGAATATGCACAAAGTACCCAGCACTACAAAAGCTAGGAACTAGGGAATGAAGCATCCATGTCAGTGCCAGCCTGGTTTCTCCTTGTCCTTCTATCCAAGTGTGGTGTCTTCAGCAATGTGGTCTTACAATCAAGTTCTTCAGAATAACCAAGAGCAATGACAGTAGCCTGAAAGGTGCAGGGTGTCTATTTGAGTCCCAAGCACTGGGCTTTTCATTTAATAGCCTGTGATGTCTGTGGGGAGCAATGTCCCTTCACTACATGTATATATTTTAGGAAGTTTCAAAAATAGTAGATTACCAGTTGGATTTGTCAGAGATTTTAAGTGTTAAAAACCTCCCCATACTCCTTCTTCTAACCTGTGGTCCCACCCCCAACCCCATTTAGCTTTTGTTCTGTTTTCCCTTTTCCTCTTCATACACCTGTGTTCTATCCCCCTCCCATAAAAGTCACCTCCCATGGGCTTCTCTGCTTTCCTGACTTCTACATGAACTCCCATTTAAGCACACATACCTAAGGATTCAAAGCTGGCATCCATGTAAGAGAAAGAGAAAGAACGCAAAGTGTCTTCTTTTCTTTCAGAGTCTGGACTACTTCACTCTGAGGGGTAATTTCTAGCTGAATCTATTTGCCTACAAATTACACTTTCATTTTTCTTTACAGTTTAGTAATAATATTCAATTGTGTATATGTACCCCCTTTTTATTATGCAGTCATCAGCTGATGAACTCCTGGGCTGCTTCCATTCCCTGGTTGTTATGGATATTACAGCAGTAAACATGAATGAGGAGCATCTCTGTCGTAGGATAGAGTCCTTTAGGAATATGCACAGCACTGGTATGAATGAGTCATAGGGTCGATCTACTCTAGATTTCCACGGGGGCTATGCCAGTTTATACTCTAACCAATGGGAAATAAACGGGAACTGTTGAGATCTGTATTTATCTCCCCCCACAACCACAGCAGTCCATAATAACCCTAAGAAACACTGGTGGGACTGAACTTTTCAAACACAACAAAGGCAAGAATGTCTGGAAAATATGTTTACCTGTCCATGGACTGTTCTCAAAGCCCATATTGAAAAGTGTTCTGAGCAAACATCACTCACCATAGTCTCTAAAGACCAGACTGTTGCTTTAAACTTTTCAGACCAGCTGCTCTCTACAAAAACTCATTCTGCCTGTGCAGAATAAAACTACCCATATGCCATGTGTAAGACCTGTGAGGCTGGTGGGCTTCCAATTATAGGCAAAACAGGCAGAGACAGATTTGTTCTATGTAATTTTTCATGCCTACTCTACTCTATTATTTCTGTTTTATTATAAAAAGTTTCAAATAAACAAAAGGCCCAGAATCTTATGTTATCACTGAGCATTAATAGCATGGGCACACACACACACACACACAGACACAGACACAGACACAGACACACACACACACACACACACACACACACACACACGAAGTAAGTCTTTTTCGTCAAGGCAGAGACATTTATCTCTTGAGCATCTTTGTGCATGACACTAACCCTTAAAGTATCATCTCGTTTTTTGGCAATATGAAACACTGTATCACTGAAAAGTCTGCTCATAAAACAAGTTTTATAAGCTGGCCTCAAATCTACTATGTAGCTGAGGACCACAGAGCATCTGTTCCCCTACTTCTTCTCCTGAGTTTCAGAATTGCAGGCCCACACCACTGACTTGGATGATGCCTCATTGGGGTTGGAACCTCGTCTGTCCTATATAAGAAAATGTGTAGGGCTGGGTAGGATATGTTTGACACATATTGAAGCTTGAGCTATGTCAAAATAGCATATTCTCAAAGGTTTCTCTGAAACATGACGCCTGCTGTGGGCCCATTATCCTTAAGGGTGTGTGTGTGTGTGTGTGTGTGTGTGTGTGTGTGTGTGTGTGTTTTCCATGAAAGGGTTATACTATCCCAAGTGCTGAGCAAATGTGGAAATATTGTCCTTTTAAGGTGACATTCTGGGGCTTACAGTGTATTATCAGAAAAAAAATTCTGATCCCATTGTTGAACTTGGTCAGCTTACTCGAGGAACTCCAGCTCAAAAATACCCTCTCCACCTGGCAAATTTCATAAAATTTCTATGAAATGAAATTCATGTACATAATCACCACAGTAAGGGGAGATTTGGATTGTGTGGAGGTGGGCAGGTGCAAACTGAGTAACAGTTACACACAATGAAAAAGGGGCTACAGAGACCACCTGGAAGAACCAGAAATGCACAAAGAGAGAAGAAAAGCTACTCCGTCTGCTAGAAGGTGAGTTCTCTCCTCAGCCTCAGGACACGGGAGCAGTACAGAGTCGGGAAAAGGGTCTGGGCCCATGACACATGGAATTCCTAAAAGGAAGGGGAATTAAAGGATAAGAAGATATGGTAGCACACAACTGCAAGCCCAGCTCTAGGGAGGCAGCGGTGAGGAGGCACTAGGTTCAAGGCCAGCTTGAACTATGTAAAGAAACTCTGCTAGTTGGAAACGGGAACAAAAGTAGCATACATATACAAATACATATATATACACCATGTACTAAGTAAATCAATGCACTTCCTCACTTGCAATGGTCCCGTTTCAAATGCTCAGCAGGCAGTTAACAGTCAGCAGCCTCCATACTGGACAGAGCAGAGGATAGTCTGGCATTGTAGAAACTTAGGCAGCACTGAAAGATGAAAAGCTAGAAAAGAGGCAATGGAAGAGAACGATGGCTCCTAAGCGCCCTCCCCACTTTGTAGCCAGCTCTCCTGTTGGAACCGACACTACTCCCTAATATTGGGGCTCCACCCTCTCTCCTCCCCAGAAAGCTGCTAGATAAGCTGCTGTCCCCCAAACCATCTGGTTGGTTGGGATTGTTGGAACAGGGCCTTGAGTTAGGGTGGAGCCAGGGATGTGCTCAGGGAAAGATCATTCAATGGGTGAAGAAGGTCCATGCACTCAGTGGCATCAAGCCCAGAATTCCAGATGGATAGAACCTTCCTTTGTTACTGACATCCTACAAGAGTCAGGCCTCCTGTCTTCAGAGCCTTGTGAGTGTTGTCATTCCTGGTCATATGATCCACCTACCAGCTCATTCTTGAAACTAAGTCATAGTTTGGAGTGTCATAGATGGACATTCACATTCTCATTTATTAACGAGGAATTTGGTCTGCTCGTCTCTTATTTTGCTTATTCACGCCAACCTATCCCTACTACAAGCATTTTTACTCGCAGAAAACACAGGATCCCTTTATCCACCCCTGGAGAGTTACAATGAGTCATGTGACATTTCAAACCACTGTCAAGTAACTGTTGCCACATACCAAGAGCAAAAAAAACGACAACATGCTATAGACTGGCCCCCAGAGAGCTCTCTCTTTTCTGGGACATGTTTAGCATTCTCTGACAATAATCTACATATTATCACACAGGTCTTGCTTCAGAGTGCCATAGCAAACCCTGAAAATATCCAGCTCCAGTAGTGTTCCTGAGACAGTATTTAGGAGAACATATCCCAAGAGAGTTTTGAATGTTGCCTAGTTTGGGTCAACATTCTTGCTAACCTCAGGCGCTTGCAGCTCTGCGTGTGTGGGCAGCTTTTCCCTGTATTCTAATTGGCTTGCTGTGCAGAGTCTTGGCCCTGTGCTTGGGAATCGTCCCTGACTTTTAACCCACATCACCTGAAGTGCATCTTCCATGTTCTCATTAGTATTTCAACACTGAACTTCATCAGGATTTTAACTGGGGACTAAGGTTGTTTCCTTTAAATATAACTTAGCGAAATCTTCCAGATTGTTTTACTGTGTTTTAAGAGGACAGACTCTTAAAGAGGGGGAAAAAATATCCATGGAGAGAAAATGGAGACCTCCCTAGACTTAAACGGGTCACAGAAGGGAATTACACATAAGACATAATGATCGTAAGGGTTATGTCTTGTCTTTTCGGAAATGTTTTTTTTTTTTTTTTTAAATCCTCTCTGATCACTGGCAATCTTTTTTCTCTTAACGCCTTAAGAAATAGCTGCATCTTTCCTAACATCTACTAAAATGAAAAGCTTATAATTTTCTGCTGTGACCTGAGGGTTTGGCTGCGAACATCAGCTGTACAAGCCTATGAATGACACAGACACTCCAAATATCCTTGCCGTATTAATCTGATGAGGCGCTAACTGGAGCCCCCATGCTTTGGCCATTTTGACAATATACCACCAAAAGTCTTCAGTAGAGGGGAGGCACATCCTGCCCCCATAGAGAGCAGCTTTTCAGTCGGCAGAAGGGTGTGTCCCTGAGTTTTTACCTGGGAGCAATGATGATCTTGTCAAGCATTTCACGGAGACCAGCCCAAGTTTTTAGGGTGGGGATCCAGACAGGTTATACGTACCTTCCCTCCTTCTCCCAGTGGAAGGCAGAAACACCTCAAAGCCTGCATGTAAGAACATCTACTGGGAAATTATTTTAATCAGACACCGGCTGAGTGGGAGAAAGAAAAAGAGCAGAGAAGAACAAACAAAGCTCCCTAGGTCGTGGATGTAACAGAAGCCAGCGGCAGCGATGGACTGGCACTCCTTCAGAAGAGCTGCGGTGCTGCTCATTTTCCTGGTAAGTGGGTTCTGCTAAAAGCCGTCCTTCACCCTCTCGCCTCAGTACAACCGAGCAAGGGCTTTGCAGAGAATGCTATTTGCAGGCACTTCTATGCTAAACCATTAAAAGTTTATGTTAATGACAAGGTGGTTTTTATGAACTGGGATTTTAAGTGGCATTTCTCTCTTTAATTGAAGACTCCCAGATCATATTAGTACCCCAGTGCCCACTCATCACATCACATCACATCACATCTCTGACATTCCAGACGTTGGTTGGTCACTCTGGAAAAATATTGAACTTAGGAAAGTCCTATAGTTGCTGTGTTTGCTTGTTCAAATTCTCGTTGGTTGGGGATAGGGCTTTTGGATTAAATATTCCAGGTGTGTCTGGGCTTTCAATCTGCACACTTTCCCCTTCTTGGAGTATTTTGATTGACAGACTGAGAGCATGTTTTAATGCCACGGAAGTATTTATATACATTAGGATTGCCTCACCAGCCTAACACTCTCTTCCCTTCCAAATGTTGTCAGACTCCGTCGAACTAACACCAAAATCCCTACGTTGTTTGCAACTTGAATTAAAATTTCAAAAGCTGATTTATAACTAATATAGCAGGCGAGGGAGTGAGCATAATTAGGGGTAAGTGTCCTTGTCCTTCGATAAAGATGTGGCACAGAAGTCGGACGTCTGACGGTCAGACCACGCAGTGCAATGATTCATTGTTGCCCCCTCGATGGGTCATTCATTCTCTCTCAGAGTTGATAAATACGCCACACCAATATATCAATTTCATGTTCGGCAATAAGTTTTAAAGCCATAGTCTCTCTCAGTTCTAAGTAGGATGAATATAATTATAAAAAGCGAGTGCCAAGTAAATCCCCCTCCAGTTTTGGCAGGATTGGGCTCTTATTTGTTTTCACTTGCTCAATTTTTGAACTGGAATGTTGGATTCGTATTGCAACAAGTTGGAGTTTTGCTTTACTATATGCTAGCTACTTTGAGTTCAGTTTATTTATCAAGAGGGGTCTTGGGGCTGAGGATGCTGCTCAATGGTGGGGCACTTGCCTAGCATGAGTGAGGTCTTGGGTTCGGTTTCCAGAAGTGAATGATAAAAGGGAGATCAGGAGCTGTAACATACAGTTATGAATGACTTTCAACAGCTTTAGTTCTTGGCTGTCCATCAAATGCGACTTTTATTCCATAGGCTTTTAAATGGAGTTTTAGATTCAGCTGATGTCACAACCTGTACTACAGCAAAGGTCAATGAGTATCATATAGCATGTCATTTGACCACAGGAAGGCCTGTCTATTTCTAAATAATGAAACACTTTACTTTCTAATTTCATATAAATTTGTCTCATTAAGGCTTTTTGTAGCGTTTCCATTCACTAACACAGTTCCAATACCTATGTGCTAACTTTCATTGAACTTAGGAGTAATTCTTTGCTTCTTGATTTATGTAATTATTTCTGATTAATTGCATCTTATGAAATTCCTCCAAAGAGCTGTTTCCTGGTTAATCATCAATAAAATTTATCATTTTATCAAAGTTCTCATGGAATTGTCTGTGTAGAGAGAGAATTTCTGGGGATTTGTACGTTATTCTCTAAGATTGGACTGTGTGTGTATGTGTGTGTGTGTGTGAGAGAGAGAGAGAGAGAGAAAGAGAGAGAGAGAATTGTGCCTGTGAGTTGGTTTTGGGAAGAGAGGAAGTCTGTGGCCATATTTATTGTGGGATCTATCACAAATTTCTCAAATGCCTTACAATATGTATCTTTGTTTTCACTTATATGTGAGTCAATGGAAATGTGTGCAACAAATATGAGGGTTCCCTAGAGTTGGAGTTATAGGATGGTGAGCCAATGAATGTGGGTGCTAGGAACCGAACTCAGGTCCTTGAGTTGGAGTTATAGGATGGTGAGTCAATGAATGTGGGCGCTGGGAACAGAACTCAGTCCTCTAGAGGAGCAGTACATGCCCTTTTACACTGTGCCATCTCATCAGACCATCTTTAGAGTTAAAATGCTTTATTTTAAGGTTAATAAGGCATTTTTGGTAAAGTGTTTCATTTCTTAAGGCTCTGAAGGTCCTGTTTTCGCTACTAATTTTAGCGGATGGCTTTGCAATTCCAGTCTTCTGTTCCTAGCCTCACTGAGTGTGTTTGTCTTTACCTAAGGAAATGGTGAAAAAAATAAAGTCTTTATAGTCTTTGCGGTTCAAAGTCAATAAATGAAAATCCACATTAGGAATACATTTAGAAAAATGGAAATATATCTAAGATGTTTAATTGATAGTATTTTCATATAAAGTTATTTAGAGAGATTGGGGACTATGTGTTGGCGGTATATTGCATGGCCTTCTCAGCTTTGCCCCAAATTTGTAAGTTAGGCCACAGGGACAAAAGCAGAGAAGCTGCTCCTAAAGGGACAAAGGCTGCTGCATGAGCTTTCTACCAGTTCAGACATCTCCTGGATAGATGGTAGCTCACATCTGTTATAGCGCTCCAAGCTGAAGGCATGGGTTGACTCTCTCTCTTCTCTTCTCCCTTCTCCTACCCTTCCTTCCCCTCTTCCTCTATCTGTCTATCTATCTATCTATCGATCGATCGATCATCTATCTCTGTGTCTATCTATTTATGTACCTGTCTGTCTATCTCTGTATTTATCTATTTGTCTGTCTGGCTATCTGTCTGGAGGAGGGGAGTAGTTATAATTTTTCCTGCCAGAGAACAGTGTTTATACCTGTGCATCAAACAGAGAAAGTATCTATTTATACAGTTATGATTATTATGGAAGGAAATCCTAAGCCTCTGCAAGAAGGACAGTAAGATCTCAGAACTCTAGTAATGCTGGAAAAATCACCTGCAAAGTTGTTACGTCTAATTACTCTGCTAAACATGAGCACCAATCTGAAGATATCCCTTGTTATAGAGGTAACTTCTGCAGATTAAGTTTAAACAACAGAGATAAAACTTCTTATATCTGTTAACAAAATAATGCTAATTACAGTTTTGGAGTTTGCTTGATTTTAGATTGTTGATTCAGGCACTTACTGTGTAGCCCAGGCTAGCCTACACTCACTATGTAGCCCAGGCTGGTCTTAAACTCCATGTCTCCCTGTCTCAAACTCCTAAATACATGAGTTCTAAGCATGCACCACTAGACCAGGCTCTAGTCTACTCTTTTTATGAGAATTTTATGGGATTACTATTTTATTCAACTAACTAACACCCAATAAACCAACCCTACAATTTGAGCTCTGTTAAACTTTTTAAAAATACAAGCAGGGGTTAAAATGGTACTCATTTATGACATAGTTGATTAACTTATTTGGACCTCATATTTTAAGTTCTTTTATTTATGTTTACTGACACCGAAAAAGAAACTGTTAAAGAAAAGTACTAAACAGCTGATAGAGGCCAAACAGAAGGAGGGACTCTGATGCGCATATACATATATATGTATATATACACATATGTGTGTGTGTGTGTGTGTGTGTGTGTGTGTGTGTGCTGTGCATTGCAGAGGATAGCACTTGAGTCTAATATTTTTTCTTTTTTTATTTTAAAAACAATCTTATCTTACATACCAATCCCAGTTCCCTCTCCCTCCTGTCCTCTGGACCCCCAGACCAGCACCATCTCCCCATCCCACCCCCTATCTACTCCTCAGTGAGGGCAAGGCCGCCCATGGAAGATCATCAAAGTCTGTCACATCATTTGGGGCAGGTCCAAGGTCCTTCTGTCTGTATCTAGGCTAAACAAGGTATCTCTTCACAGGGAATGGGCTCCACAAAGCCAGTTCATGCATTAGGGATAAATACTGGTTCTACTGTCAGCAGCCCCATAGACTGCCCTGCCCCAACCCCCAACCCCCACCTTAGGGGCCCTAGTTTTGTCTTATGCAGGTTCCCCAAGTATTAGTTTGGGGTTCGTGAGCTCCCACTTGCTCAGGTCAGCTGTTTCTGTGGGTTTCCCCAGCATGGTCCTGATCTCTTCGCTCATCCCTCCTCCCTCTCTACAACTGGACTGCAGGAGCTCAGTACTTGGCTGTGAATCTCTGCTACTGCATCCATCAGCAACTGGATGAAGGCTCTAGGATGATATTTAAAGTAGTCACCAGTCTCATTATAGGGGAAGGCATACTGTGATAAAGGGAGCCATTATGAGGTTGAGGAGAAGCTTGGAGCTAGGGAAATTCCCAGAAATCTACAAGGATGACCCAAACTAAGAATCTAAGCAACAGTGGAGAGAGTTCCTTAAATTCCCTTCCCATATATTGAGCCCAATATTTTATAAAGAATGAAATCGGTGTTTCTATTCCTCTGGTTAGTGGAAGAAATGGTAATTCAGCAGGATCATCTCCACAAATGTGGTATTTGCAAAAGCTTTCTTTATTCACTAAAAATTTAGGAGTAAAATCATACTTCCACTTTACACAAATGGGGAGTCATCTCCATCACCACTCAATTAGGGCTGTCACAGTGTAAAAAGGCATTTGGTGACGAGAAAAGCTGATGCTTAGTGCTGTAGCCTTCATAGGTGCAATGAAGACTACCCTATTAGAAGAAGCTGGTGAACAAAGACGAAGGACACTTGGGTCTCTGTGGGCTTCACTTACGTTCTGATAGTTCTCCACTGTGCATTCAGCAAAGGCTCTCTTGCCAAACATCCTGGTGTCATAAGAGCAATTGCCTAATGTACAGTCAGGAAGCTTGATCTGCTGGGCATTGTGGTTCTTCTGCTTCTTCAGCTGAGTTAACACCCTCCAGGGTGCTGGGTCATGCCGCCCATACTAGTTATGCTTGGCGTGCAAACTCTTGTAATGGACCTAGACAGCTCCAACTTTCCTCATGCCAATGGCTGGTGATCCATGCTCTTAATTGCTCTCTGAGCACGGAGTACAGTCTTTTATACTTGTCTAATTAGAATCATATCCCTTACAAATTAACAGAGGATTGCTGCCTATAGAAACTCTTTGACTCTAAGCCATCTGAAGGCAAGACCCACGTCTGACTAACCTTTGTATCATTCACAGCTCTCTCAACCAAGAGACTCAAAGCAAAACTGATCCACAGTATCTCACAACGCAGAACAGAAACACCAAAAGGGAAATTGGGGGTAGCTCACATTTCTTTTCCCACACACACTCCAAAGACTCCCCTCTCAGGTTGGTGAGTGTAGAAGGAATCATGTGGCCTTTCCCTAATGTTTTGTGGTGTTGCACCCACTTGACATTTCATTCTAAGCTCACCAGAATTTTCAGGCTTTCAACCTTAAATACAGTTCCTCATGCTGTGGTGACCCCCAATCATAAAATTATTTCCTTGCTACTTCCTAACTGTAATTTTGCTACCGTAATGAATCGTAATGCAAATATCTTATATGCAGGATATCTGACATGCGACCTCTTTCAAGGGTCATTCAACCCCAAGGGTCATGACCCACAGGTTGAGAACCACTGTTTTAATGCCATCACACTGTCTTAAAACGTTGTACCACACATTTGACAAAGAAATGGACAAACCATGAATAAATAAGAGAAATTAATCCAAATATCACATCCTTTGTCAGGGAAATCCAAAAAAAAAAAAAAAAAAAAAAAAAAAAGACAAAAGAGGTTTTTTTAGATTATCGTTTCATTGTTTCATTTTTTGTTTTTGTTTATTTTGGGAGGATTGTAAAGAAAAGATTCTTTCTAGCATATCCTTGTGATGCACCTAATAATTAACAAAGACATTTTATTCAACAAATTGCCACTACCTCACTATTATTAGATACAAGGAGTTTTCCTCACAAGAAGTTTTCCTTCAAGTCAAACTTTAGCACATGCAAAGGACAAATTTTAATTTAATTTTCAAATTTTAATTTTAAAAAGACTTGTTGAAATCTACTTTAACAGGATAATCAATAAAAGTGTCATGAATTTGCTTCCTGTGGCTTTTAAATAAAAGCATGTATGAAGGGAAGAGGTTATTGAGATGAGTTATTCACTGTTGTTACACAACGTTTGGACTCTAAGACAATTTAGTTTCCAATGTTTGTGACAAAACTGTGGCGCAGACAGAATAAGTTTGCAGTGGGCAAGGGGGCAGAGTCTTTTTAAACACCTTGACAATTCATGGCTCTCCATTGCTGGTGGAATCTCCATTGCTGTCAGCATTGCACAAAATCCAGAATTGTTTCTGAGCCTAAGCTACTCCGCCATTGTCAGAAAATACCATGCCTAGGCCAGGAAAGAAGGTTTGTCATTAAGAATAACTTCTCTCTGATTTTGCTGCACCAGTCAATGTATTGCAAAACTCTCTCTCTCTCTCTCTCTCTCTCTCTCTCTCTCTCTCTCTCTCTCTCTCTCTCTCAGCTCTTTTCCAGCCTGCCTCTCCTGCTCTCTTAGTCACACTCTTAAATAGCTTTTTCCCCCATCAAAATCCCTTCCCAACCTTCAAGTATAATATCTCCCTCCCCCACAATATTTTTATTGATTCCCACTAAAGTCCATTTAGACTTTCTCTTCTCTTTTGTCGTTACAATCCCTAAGAAAGTAGTTTCATGTCTTCCTTTCCTCCCCGCCCCTTGTTCTTTTTTGGTAGGGTGATCTTTGCCCCGCCTGAAAACAACGTTCTCTAAAAGGACACTGAAACTCTAGAATTTCCTCGCATTTCACACAGTTCAAGTTTGTTGCTGTTTTCATTCAGTTTTTGTTTGTTTGTTTGTTTGTTGTTTTTCCAGTCAGGGTTTCTCTGTAGCTTTGGAGCTGTCCAGGAACTCACTCTGTAGACCAGGCTGGCTTCAGACTCAGAGATCCGCCTGTCTCTGCTCCCCAGCACAGTTCAGTTTCTTAAGATCATCTGACATTCATGTCCAGTCAGTCTTTCAGTCTCCCTTCTTTGACATCTGTGAATCATTTCGTCTCCTACCATCCACATGGCACACTTCTGTTCCTGCATTTCTTCCTTCTACCTTCCCCTCACCCGTCTCTGTCATCTCTTCCTTCCTCTCTCTTTTTCAGTCTGCATCTCTCTCCCTCCTTCCTACCCCTTCACAACCACCACCATCACTCACTCCACCCCTCACCTCCCCACTCCCCACACCCCCACCCCCATTTTCCGCTTGCTTTCTCCCAGTTAAACAAATGCAGGAGTTCCCAGTGCCATCTCAGCCACAGGCTGTTGTTTCTTTCCTGTATCCTCCACTTAACAAGTATCCTATTCTCCCATGATTTCAACACCTCTACCCGAGTGGATGCATCTCGACATTGCATACCCAAAGGAGGATTCTGCTCAATGTAGTTCCTTCAGCATCTCAAACATTGACCTACCTCTGGCCCTCTCCCACTCTTCAGGACTGCTAGCTCCAGGGACCCCCTCCTATTCTTTATCTCGCATCCCATCTGTTCTCTAACTTGTGGATCCTGTCAGTCCAGAATCTCCCAGCTTGATCTTTCCCTGTGGCTCTCACTGCCTCTGCATCTACTTAGCTCTTCCTTACCTCTACTTTGATTGGTGCAGAAGACCCAGCAGCCTTTGGCCTGTAATTTCTAAGTCTTCCCATTGCTCCTACTGGCTATTGTCCAAGCAATCTTTCAAACCTATAATTTCAGCATGCCTTTCCCATGACCAAAATACTTCAGTATCCTTCCACAGAGCACAAGGATTTGATGTTGGGACTGGAAAGGCATTTGTGTTAGTTGTCTGTCTACTCATATCTCAAATGAGATAAAGCCCAGGAAATTACCATGTATGTTGTATTCTGACTACCCAATGATCTTTCCAAGTCATCGTTTTCTCTGTAAAAACTTAACATTTGTAACTAAATTTATTCTACACTCTAATTAGAAAAAAAACCCAGCTCACATCATCAACTCACTATGTTTTAAAAAGCAGACTAGGCGGTTTTCTAATTACCCATCCAATTGTGAGTCTGACACTGTGGTGAAACCCACCTGGACTTTTGCCTAAGTTGCTTCTCATGGGAAAGAGGATGACCTGGCTTCATAAAGTTAGGAAAAGTTCTTAGTCATCTGGCCAGCTACCCAAAGCAGTAGGTCGTAACTGGCGCTTCGGGAAAGGAAATGCAGTAACAGATAGCAGGCAGATGAGTAAACAAGAGCTGTAGCTATGAAGAAATGACTTCCAAACAGACAGATGAGGCAGCCCGGCAGACCTGTCCCACCCGCAAGCAAGAAAAGAGTGTCCACAGCTGCAAGAACTTGCCGGAATAAGTGAGTTTGGGAGTCAAGCTCAGCCCTATAGACCACATTGCAGTTGTGCACCCTAACCATTAAGCTGTGTGGATTCCATTGTTGTCTTGCATCACTGTTGTTATTACTGCTGCTGCTGTTTCTGTATAAGCAATACCAGTGGGACAGGGAATGACCCAGGGGGTAAGAGTAGGGCTATTACTCATCCATGAGGATCTGAGAGAGAATCTTCAGCATCTACATAAAATGCTGGCCATGGCCACAAATGCCTGTGACCCTACTGCTGTGGGGGTGGGCACAGGAGGATTGCTGGTGCTGGCTGGCCACCAGCCTGTCTTCCCCAGGTTCATTGAGAGACCCTATATCAAGGGAACAAGATTGAGAGTATTAGATCAGAGCACTCAGTGTCATCCTCTCTCCTCTGTTCGTTTGCACAGACATTCACCCAATCACACATGTGCTCATACATCAACACACACACACACACACACACATAGAGAGAGAGAGAGAGAGAGAGAGAGAGAGAAAGAAACTAATACGGATAATGTCAGCTTAGATCAAAATTGTAACATTAAGTTCTCAAAGATGTGATATCATTTCTTGGTAATGTTTTACTTAATAATCTATTCAAGAAAGCAGGCTCTCTTATACTTGACTGTAAAATAAACACATATTCAGGCTGAACTGCATGGGATTGCATTTTGTCATAAGTTAGTGGCCAGGTCTCAGTTTTCTCTTCTGTAAAGGAGATAATAATAATAATGGTCATTACTGGGTTTATAATGAAGATAAATGGAAAGATTTTTCTGGACACATTGTCTTGTACTTAGCTATCATTTAATTAATGGCAATAATTACAGTGAATGACATAGTATCATGGGTAATAATTCTCTTCATCCTGCTCATGCTCACCATAAATACATATTTGCTTGTTTGTTTGTTTAATGTCACTGTTTTGACATTTTTTTCAAAACATCTTCTTAGAAACTGAAATTCATAATTTCCGTAAGGAAGAAACTGAAGCTGAATGTAAAAAACTAATCACTATGTTTAGAATTGTTAATTTTCATATTTTAAGAGAAAACTATAGTTCTTAATATCAGTGCTAACATCTGATTATGACCATGGATTTCAGGCTTTGCTGTTATGAAAAAAACAAAAACAACAAACAAACAAAAAAAAAAAAAAGAAGAAGAAGAAGAAGAAGAAGAAGAAACCTCAATTAGAAGTTCCATACCTCTTATTTAAAAAGACATTTACAAAACTTAAGGTGTTAGCTGACCCTTGATGTACTTTAAAACAATGAATGTAAAAGAGCTTAACTTTTAAACATTCACTTGCCACATCTTAAACAAATACTGAGACATGTTACTTTAATATGTGAATATTGGTGTTTTAAAAAATGATTGCAATTTTAAATAAAAAATAACTTAATATATCCTGATATTAAATCTGGAACTTCACTTAGACAGAGTTCTACTAAGTACAACTCTACTTTCTTTAATGAAGGGAGAAGTTCCCTAGTCAGAAAAAAAACAGCTAAGGAACATCTACTGCCATTAACTTAGCCAACACCTGCATTGTTTGGTTTTATTTTATGTGTTTTTAGTTATTGGTTCACATAGAATTGAAAACACTCATTAAAAATAAACTATTGCTACTGCTTTTTACAGGTGGTGCTTGAAGTTAACAGTGAATTTCATATACAGGTAAGAAAAAGCAAAACTTTTTTTTTTTTTTTCCAAACTAAAAAATGAAAGGGCCAGGCATGGTAGTGCAGGCCTGTAATCCCAGCATCTAAGACCAAGCCTTGCAGATTGTGGATTAGAAGTCACTAATTGAACTTCTGGAATCCAGTTACAGAGAATGATGACCAAAGGGGTCAAGACGAGGCTGGAGAAACCCACAGAATCAGCTGACCTGTACAAGGGGGAGCTCATGCACCCCAGTTTGATAGCTGGGAAACCCAGCATAGAACTGACCCAGACCCCTGAATGTGGGTGTCAGTTAGGAGGACTGAGCAGTCTATGAGGTCTCTAGAATGAATCAGTATTTGTCCCTAGTATACAAATGCACTTTGGGAGCCCATTCCACATAGAGGGATACTCTCTCAGCCTAGACACATGGGGGAGGGCCTGGGCCCTGCCCCAAATGATATGACAGACTTTTAAGATTCTCCATGGAAGGCCTCACCCTCCCTGGGGAGCATAAAGGGGATGGGCTGGGGTTCAGTGGGGGTGATAGGGGAGGATGGTAGGGTGAGGGATCTGGGATTGACATGTAAAATAACCTTGTTTCAAATTTAAATTAAAAAAAAAACGGAAAAAAAAAAGGAAAGAGAGAGAGAAGTCAGTTTTGAGCTACATAAAGAAACTCTGTTCCAAAAGCACACACACAATAAACAAACAAAACAAAATAAAAACAGAAAGAAAAAGCGGGAGGGGGGAGAAGGAGGAAGAGGGAAGGGACCAAAGGGAAAGATGGATTAGCAATGACAGCATATACTCAAGAAAACCCTCATTCTTCTGAATACAAAATTACTGCAATGTTACAATTGCAAATGTTAATATTGTCAGAATTCTCAATTTTCCATTTAACCATCTTCTCTTCCTGCCGTAATTATTCTTCCTTCCCAATTCTCCAATGGAAGGGCAGTAATAACAAGTAACAGTTAATGGACACTATATTTTACCTATTTAAGGTAAGAGACCATAACGCCAAAAATGGTACCATCAGTTGGCACCCCATCAGAAGGCAGAAACGTGAGTGGATCAAGTTCGCTGCGGCTTGTCGGGAAGGTGAAGACAATTCAAAGAGAAACCCTATTGCTAAAGTAAGTGTCAACCCCAGAGCATGAATCCAAACAGCACACTAGATAGGGTCACAGTTCTGGAAGGGCCCAGCTTTTATATGCTTTGTGCACACATACAACTGAAAAGTCATGACCTAACAGCACCTCCCCATTCAAATTATGAAAACTAAAATTCCTAAAGGGATAAAGTAATGACGTTGGGTCCTTGGATTAACAACTAAACACTGTCTCATCACTGGCAGTAGTCCACATGAGTATTTGTTATGCTAGACTCTAAAAAGACCATGGTTTACAGATGGACTTGGATTCAACATGCTGAAAGTACGTGCTCTCTCTGCTTCATAACCTACTAGAACTTAACTTCTATTTGTCTGTATGTATAAACATTCAAAGCATGCCTTGCTCATAACTTAAAATTCCTCCAGTTTTCCCTATCTTCCTGTCTTTATACACAAAAGCTCAAACTCAGGAAACTACTCCCTCCACAAACAGACTCACACCCATAGACATATAGAGATATACCACAGATACAAGCACAACCATTCACACAGATAAATATGGCAACTGCCTTGTAAGATTTACTTATATGCATACAGTATTTAATGTGGACAAAAAGCCAGGCTTTACTATTTCATTGGAGTGGGCTCTTACCTTTCCTTTACCACTTGCAGAATAAAAAGCTTCAAATAATTTTTTACTAGAAAAATCTATTTAAACATTTTCTGAATCTTAGTATTTTCTAAAGTTGTTTTTTTATTTAAAGCTCATGTTCTCAGATAATGTGTATGTGTTATAAAAGTCTATAAGAAAGCAAGAAAAAACAGACAGATCTCTGTGAGTTCAAGACCAGCCTGGACTACAGAGCAAGTTCCAGAACAGTCAGGGCTACACAGAGAGACCCTGTCTTGGAAAAATAAAAACAAAAATAAACAAACAAAACAAAAAAGGATATAAAATGGAATTATCTTATCTTATTACATTGTGATTTACCATTAAAAATGCATAGTGACCATGCACTTACTACTAAAGAGCACTTCCCTGTTTTTAATAGACAGCGCATTCAATAATTCTCAAGGACAACAGTTGTCATATGTCACATGTAGAAGCCCACAGGACCCCTGTAACATCTCCTGTGTCTTTGTACAGATTCATTCTGATTGTGCTGCAAACCAGCAAGTGACATACCGCATCTCAGGAGTAGGAATTGACCAGCCACCCTATGGAATCTTCGTTATTAATCAAAAAACCGGTGAAATCAATATCACATCCATCGTTGATCGGGAAGTCACCCCCTTTTTCATTGTAAGTGGGATTTGTGTCAACATCTGTATGCAGGTGTAAATTACTCTTGGACAAATCTTAGATCATACTAGATTTGATTTCAAGACTCCCCAAATCAGGCTTTCTGAGACTTTTCTTACTGGTACCCCAATTGACAAGAAAAAAAAATAATATAGAAATGTTTCCCTTATATGTTAGCAAAAATGCTAGTTAACATCAGTTCCATGAAAAATGAGAGTATTTGCTCGGAAGGGCAAATCTTTAGCTTTTGTTTGATCTTAAAAAAAGAAAAACAGTGATGTAGTTCTTGCCATTTACTCTTATTACCTCACTGACAATGGGTCTTAAGTGTGTATGTTCTTAATTTTCCCTTTCCTAGAGCATAGTTCATATTTACTGTCTTTGTCTATAGTTTTGTATCAAGCCTAAATATTTTCTTTAGACTAAAGGGGAAATTGTAGTGAGATGTCCACCGGACCCACACCTGTTGCACTGACCATGCCCCAATGGGGCATGGGGACAGGTGTTGGCATGACCTGGGGGACTAGGTCTGGGGTTCCAGACCCCAGGTCGCTCTCTTACTTCCTGGTTGGAGACAGAGAGCACCTGTAGGCATCCTTGGGACAGGAACCTGCAGCGGTCATCTGTTTCTGGTGTAAGTGATTTCTCCCCGAAGAAACATCCATCAGCCTATCGTTTCCCAGATTCTTATTTACCATGCTTTTCAGTGGAGATTGATGTTTCCTTTTAGGTCCAGTGCCAAGTGATGAGCCTGGAGCTCCTCGAGGCTGTTTGTTCCATATGAGCATACTTCATCATAACTTTACACTGTTCGAGATCATCTGGGCTTTAAAGGAAATTTGAAAACTCCCTTATCCTTAGTCTCTCTCTCTCCTCCCCCCTCTCCCCCTCTCTTTTCCTTGCAGAAGCTGTCAAACAACTTAAACAGCCTGTCTTCTAATGCTCCACCTCACTTCTTCATAAGCAGCTCCCAAACCGAGCCACCTATCCCAATACCTCCCATACATACACATAGCACATTGTCTTCATTGCTGCGTCTAAAATCATGATCAGCTGTTTCCCAGAGCTTTCCCATGACATGTCTCTCACCTTGTTGTTACTTGTCTCTTGAAGAGCATGATCCTATCACCTACCTTTCCCCTTCTATTCTCTTAGTCATTCACTGCCGTCATTTCCATCTATGGTCATGGCTAACAGTTCTTAATAAAAATATAAAGCGAAATAAGCTGGGCAGTAGTGATGTATGCCTTTAATCCCAGCATTTGGGATAAGAAGGCAGGCAGATCTCTGTGAGTTTGATGACAGCCTGATCGACAAAGTAAGTTCCAGGACAACCAGAATTACACAGAGAAACCCTGTCTCAAAAAAACAATAATAATGATGATGATAATAATAATAATAGAAAACAATCTTTCCAGTAATCTTGTAATCTCTTCTATTAAAATCCCATCAAAGATCTGAGGAAGTAACTCAGTGACCAAGCATTTGGTTATTATCTGTAAAGTCCCTGGATTCAATCTCCAGCCCTAAAAAAGATAATATTCCAAACTGCCTCCAAATATCCTTTAGTCCTTGCTGCATTCATTCACACTTCGCAACTGCATTCCTAGAACTACTTTAATTCTTGAGCCTTCAAGTCCAAATCTTTATTCTTAACTTCTCCCTTTCACAGTGTCTCCCTACAAATTCAGCAAATCAGCAAGGCAGTTCACAATGTATTGTTACACGGAGATGACCTCTGTGAAATAATACACATTCCAGGTCTTCCTGAGGGAAGCAGTAATAATAAAATAAACAGCCATATAGCCACCCCAGCACTTAAGAATGCCACATCGTTTTCCAAGTGCTCTTCTCGCTCTCTCTGGTCACATTCTCCAGTGTCCTTTCCCTGATACTTTTTCTTCATTTTAAACATAGAGGCTGCACCATTTCCTTTATCTTATGTATCGGCTTACTTTTTTAAACTGGCATTTTATACTCTTGTTTGTCTTTTCTTATTGATTATATGTGCTACTCATGTCTATATTTTAATATGGGAAAGAATAATATGGTATCGATTAACCCTACATAGTATCAAGGCAATGCCTCCATCCTGTAAGAACTTACAAATGCATAATTCACCATGATCCTTTTCTTTCATGCCTAGATCTACTGCCGAGCACTGAATGCACAAGGTCAAGATTTGGAGAACCCACTGGAGCTTAGAGTCAGGGTTATGGATATAAATGACAACCCTCCCGTGTTTTCCATGACTACATTTACAGGACAAATAGAAGAAAATTCTAATGCAAGTGAGTCACCTGCACTATGAAAGAAACAATGTGTTGATGACTAAGTTACTGTTGCTAGGCAACTGGGCTGAGCAGTGTCAAGGTAAACATCAACCTGGAGGTAGAGAGCATCCAGAACCAACAACTCAGGAAATGGCTCCAGTGTTGGTCCAGGAGAACCTCCAAAGCAGCAAGTGGGATTTATACTCATGCCTCAAGACCCAGCTCCTAGGAGAGTCTTATAATAAATCCCAACAAGATCTGCACAGTAGCAACAGGCTCAGAGGGATGAGAATTTTCTCACTGCCCGAGTGTGTTGAAAAGCAATCCCACTCACATGTGATCATCATCCTTACTTCCAATTTATTGTTTATCCAGATGTAAGAAATGCATCTCTTTATGGGAGTACATTATTGAACAAAATGTATAACAACCAAATAAGGTTCAGAGGCATCTCCATGTCTTTAACCAGCAAGCACTGAAGAAGTCCATACTCATCCTTTGTGTTCATTCTGACATGTATCATAGATTGTCTCCCTGTTCTGCTGAAGAAGAACCCCAAAGAACTCATGCACTGTAACTTTGATCACCCCTACTCAACTTTTTAATGGTCATTGTTTTTACACAAACCAAGCCAGGCACAGGAAGACAAATATCATGCATTCTCACCTATTTCCAAAGTACCCTTGCAGAAGGAAAGGGGGAACAGTGGCCACTAGAGACTGGGGAGCAGTGGGTAAGGGAAACAGAAAGAAGTTTATCATTTTAAAGTCACTCAAAGGTATCTGTTCCAACCATTCTCTTTTGATGCTAGGGGCTTTTGTAACAACAATAAATGCCAAGAAATCATTGCTTCCCCTTTCCACTCAAGCTATAATGAATGCAGTCTTCCCTTCTTCTCTTTTGGATTTGGCTCCAGGAACCCTAAACATAAAGAGACCTATGGAACTTGCATTCTTTTACAAATGATGCCCTGTTTGCATATAACTCACATACATCCCTCCACAGGTTTTTAATTATTTCCAGATGGCTATAATGCTCAATACAATGTAAATGTCACATAAGTGCTTACCATCCTATGTTTCTTAGATAACAATAACAAATGACACAAAAAGGCTTTTATATACTCAGTCAAGTTCTTTGAATTTTCCCACTCATTATGGGTTGAATTGTGGGCATGGAACCCACAGCTGCAGAGGGACAACTGCACTGGTTCTGTTTTGTAACCATTCTGTTCACATTGCTGAGTTTTTACATTGAAAGTACATTATACATGTGGTTTCATGTGGCTCGGTGTGAATATTTGAAACATATCTCTCAAATCTTGAGCTGGTGCTAACGTGGGACAAGATATTTGCACACCATTGAAGATTATTCAAGAGGTGTCGATCTAAGAAGGGATGGGGGAGGGGGAGAAGACTGCAGAGGGGAAAGAAGAGAGAGAAGGGATGAGATGCCCTGGCATACTAGTAATTTGGAAACAATTCAGAGAGTAGAACAGAATTTCAGTTGATGAATGACTATTGACAGTTTTTCATGCCCAGTAGTGTCACTACTTATTAGATTAAGAAAGAAGACAAGGACAGGGAGTGTATGTGATTAAACAAACATTTCCTATAAGATCCCAGTTACACTGCACCTACACAAGAGCCAATTCCAGTCTAAACAATGCCACTTAGTAACTGCCCCAAATGGACACCAATATTCATTAAAAGTGCATTGTTCAGTAGACACATCAGTCAGTATTCTCACTTGTTGTTGAATTTTCACATAAGTAGGGTGTTGTCACAATTCTCATTTATAACTGTGGGAAGTAAAGACAAGATCATCCAGTAGAAATAAGGTCAGGTAGCACAGTTGGCAAAACATTAACTGAGTTTTATGCTGTTTTATTTCACCATCTTGCTCAAAAGAAGTTATATTAGGATAAGAAACAGAGAGTCGGAATAAAAGACTTCCTTTCCCCTTCAGTAACGTCTAGGCTCCTATTTCAAATACAGTCTTTTTAGCAGGACAAAAGTAAAGAAAGGAGTTACTATATTGGTATGTTGACATTGTGCAGAGAAGAAAGTTGACTGCACTCTGCATGAACACAGATAACATATTGAACTGTGATAATGTTCATTGTCTAATTATGCCAACCTCTCTTGCTTTCTAGACACGCTGGTCATGAAACTGGAAGCTACCGACGCAGATGAGCCAAATAACTTGAACTCAAAGATCGCTTTCAAGATCATAAGACAGGAACCTTCAGAATCACCGATGTTTATCATCAACAGAGGCACTGGAGAAATCCGAACAATGAATAATTTCCTAGACAGAGAGGTAATTCTTCTTAATCTTACAAGATTTTTATTAAAAAGGAGATGGTTCTAAAAGTAAAGTTACTTAAGAGAGAGGAAAGCTAAAAAAATGTGTTCAAAGTTTGCATATCTTCTATCATACCTATTTACTTATTTTGAGGGGAGTGTGGCCATGTTCCTGTTATGGTATGCTTGTTAAAGTCAGAAGACATCTTCTAAGTGTTGGTTGTCTCCTTCCATCATGTGGGTATCTTTCAACTGCCAGGCTTTGTGGTAACTACATTCACCTGCTGAGTCATCCCACTAACCCTATTTTTATATCAAAATTTTCATTTGAATGTGTTTATACACAAAATATTTTTATTATGTTCTTCCCATCCTCCAACGCCTCCTAGATTCCTCACCTCCCTATCCACACAATTTCATCTCCCTCTCCCTCTCTCTCCTTCTCTCTCAAGAAAACAAAGATAAAAATATTAAAATAAAAAATCCACACGCACACACACACACACACACTCAGTGTCTGTTTTGTGTTGACACAGGCCCTGCCCTGGAGTGCCATTGATAAGTCTAGTGGCATTCCATTGGAGGAAACTGCATTCTCCTTCCCAGCATCGGTTTCAAACCGCTTCTAGGTTAGGGGTGAGACTTTGTGTCCAGTTCTCCCCAGTGTTGGGACTTTGGGGATTTTTGTTTCCCTCCACAATCACAGGGGATTCTGAAACATGAAGAGATGTGCTGAAGTTACATTCATAAATGGGAATTATTATGTTTATAGGCAAGTCTAAGGAAGGTTTCATAATTTTCCCCAACTTCTAAGAGTGGAGGCACCACTGAATAGAATCAGAAAGAGAAACTTCATCATTGCCTTCATTTCCCACCTATCTACCTGCCACTAGACACCTCTATTTGCCTTGAGTGGCACCTTGCTCATAACAAGGAAGTTCCATGTCACGTGTCCTTGATGAACCATGTCTTTCTCCTCTTGAACATTCTGGCCTGTCTCACCTTTTAGAGCCTCTCCTCTCTTTGGACAATGAGGTCTTTAACAAAACTATTGCTTCTTTGAGATTGTGCTGGGTAAGCATCATTGGAAATGGAAATGACAAATCTGTGGATTTTCATCTTTGTTACCTTGTTTTCTATCAGGGCTTTAAGTAAATGTCGAGCCAGTGTTTTAAAAGAGCTCTGCATAAGACAGACTGTCGATGCCTAGTATGTCATAACCTATAATGTGTTTTACTTTTTTTTTTTTTTTTTTTTTTTTTTTTTAGCAATATAGCCAGTATTCTCTTGTGGTGAGAGGCTCAGACCGTGATGGTGGGGCAGATGGCATGTCTGCAGAATGTGAGTGCAACATCAGAATCCTGGACGTCAATGACAACATCCCATACTTGGAGCAGTCATCTGTAAGCATTTGTCCTTGAGAATCCAATTTAATGACTTTAAGTCATTACATTCCAATTTCACATAGGAACCCAGTCAGTTTTCAGGTAGACTTTGCTTCATTTGCTGTCTACAACACCAGTGTAGACACACACTTCCTCTTAAATGGTTTCTATAGCGAGAAAAGTGGATTTGAACCATGAAGTATACAATTATAAGCAAGGATGTTGTTTCTGAGTAGTTAACTGTGAACATGCAATGGACAGGCTGGTACGGGTTCTCTCCCATGCTTTGTTCTGATATTTTGCCTCTTGTTTCAGTATGCCACCAGCATTGAAGAAAACGCTCTGCACTCACAGCTAGCACAGATCAGAGTCATTGATTTGGATGAGGAGTTCTCAGACAACTGGAAGGCAATCATTTTCTTTATCTCTGGAAATGAAGGAAATTGGTTTGAAATAGAAATGAATGAAAGAACAAATGTAGGAATTCTAAAGGTTGTCAAGGTACGGCATAATTATCCTAAATAACTTGTTTTGCTTTGAAATTATGTAAAACACAATTATCTTTAACATGAATGTAAATGCTTATATTGCTTCAGGAAAATAAGCATTGAAAATTTGAAACTCTCTTTATCAATACAGTCCTCCAAAGGTCATAGCAGGGGAAAGCCTGTCTACATAAGACAACGAAGTATGATTGACCTTTAAATTTAAGGTTCTGCTTGTATTTATTCAAAGGTTTCTTTTGATCATTTTTAATTACACACTTGTGTTCCTGTACCCATATGGGGTGTGTGTACATGTGTGCCCAAAGGCAAGAGGTAAATGTTGTGTGCTTAAGCATTCAGCTGCCTCTCCAGCTCCAAAGTCAATAAATAAACAATATTTTCAAAGGCAGATTTAACATGGACTTAAAAAAATCTGCCCATACCCACATAGATTATACTTCAAGAATATTCACCACATAAACTAAAGGTTAATATACTCTTCCAGGGTGATAAAATTAAATCACTGTCATTTACCAGTGGGCTTTTGTGGAACTGAACTGTGACAATTGTAGAATTATAGAACCCTCATATGCCCATCTCACAGTGGCTGTGGGGCAGGGCTTTTTTTATTCCTCCTCTGTGACCTCTGTCGGTCACATCTACATGCAGTGAAATGTGTCCTCTGAGATGGAAGGTGAAAACCGGACTCCTGAGAAACCAATAGTAAAGTTCATGACTGTGTGTGATGCACATCACACAAATCATTCATGGTACAATCGATGCCTCTCCATCTACTGCTTTCTTTCACCCTGTCTCTTAATGTGGACCCAGGGTTCGCCCAGCTCTGTTACTCTGGTCTCTCTATACTTACTTACCCTTAGTCCTGGTGCAGTGTGCAGTTCAGAATAACCCCATGAAGCAGATTTCCAATGGACTTGGTGCCTTCCTTCACAAGTGTCAGCTTATGTTTCCCATGTCTCCAGAAATTTCATGCACTGAGACTATTGCTTCCATTTGCCCGAAACTATTTCCAGACACTTCTGGTCGACTCTCCCAGTACCTCTTGCAAATTAGGTTATATCAAATCCACATTGCAGACCAAAAGATGGAGACAATGACAGCTTGTACCCTGTCCTAATTTTTGTTGCTAGTAAATGGCATAGACACTTAAAACTAGGTTTCCTTACCTACTTAATTCATTTTTCTGTGATATTTTCTAGGACTTGGTTCTGGGGAAATCAGTTTCTTATTTATTTCCCTTCAATTTTATATGCATTATTTCTTCTTAATACCTTTACCTAAAAACTAGGATAATTCTCCAAAATGTGATAGCATATATTCAACTCTTTATTATAATTACAGAGAAGTAATATAACTATGGTGTGCATTTATATGTATGCTATACACACATACATGCTGTAATTGGTATTTTAAGTTGCAAATAAAACTAATTCTTTCATACAAAATTTTAGATGAATAGGAGGACTCAGTATATGGATTTTTATTTAAAATAATCATAAATATTCAGAAAATATATTTGGTACATGGAGAACACATCGGTTATTTGACAATTTTTGTGAATTGTAGATTTGGGTATCAACTTTCATAATAAAACTTACTACTTGATTATTTTATGTAATGAAATAATTTTTGGAATATATTAAAGAAAAGAAGGATTTCTTCATGTATTATATACACACATACATATACGTATGTATATCTGCATTGGCATTCAAAAAGTCACAATTAAGTCAATTTTTAAAAATTCTTCAGGGATAAAACTAGTTAAATGATCAGATCTCTAATACTTTTGATTCATATCTTGTTATAAAAAGGACCACTTTCTCAGAAGCACACAATGCTGTCAGCTGACAAATTGTCTTTGTACTGCAAATATATAAATTGGATCATATGTTGAATTTAAGTATTTAACTATTTGAGAAATTAGGATTCATGTTCTGTGTTTTCAATCCTTTTAACAAAAGATCCAGGACAACTAGATGTTCTTTATTTGCTATATTTACATGTGTCTACCTTGAAAAGAATACCCAACAAGTAAGATTAGACTAGGTACATCATATGGATTTATGTTCAATTATATATCTGAAACAAGGACACAATTAATGACTTTGTCTAGTCTCAGAGTATTTCTCTGCCCTCTGAAATGTTTTCTTACAGTAAAACTAATCCTTTCTGTGTTGTCTAGCCCCTGGACTATGAAGCCATGCAGAACGTGCAACTTAGTATTGGTGTACGAAATGTAGCTGAATTCCACCAGTCCATTATTTCTCAATATAGAATCACAGCAACTATGATCACAGTGACTGTGTCGAATGTAGTCGAGGGCTCCGTGTTCCGGCCAGGTTCGAAGACTTTCGTAGTGAACAGTCAAATGGGAGCAAATTACAAAGTGGGAGAGTTTGTAGCTACCGACCTGGACACCGGCCTAACTTCAACAAATGTTAGGTAAGAATGGCATTTTCCAACTGAAGTTATAGTTTTAGGGGATCGTGAGAAGGGAAGATGCCATCTGAAGGGAGAGAAGAGGGTAGTGGAGTGCAGCATGTGACCAAAAGCAAGCTCTATTTGGGGGAAGGAGGGGACCCAGGCATAGGAGGGCAGAGGTAGGGGAAGAAGGGTGAATGAGAGCAAAGTATGTGACACATGTGTATGCAAAGACACAATAAACCCATTATTCTGTATACTAACCTTAAAGAAGTGATTTTACAAAGTCTCCCTTTAAAGAATAGCTTAAATTTCTATTGCATTCTTTTGAACACAGATATGTAATGGGAAATAACCCGGCTGACCTGCTGGCTGTTGACTCAAGAACAGGCATAATAACTTTAAGAAACAGAGTTACTTTGGAACAATACCAGATGCTTAATAAGAGATATGAAGGGACAATACTATCAATAGATGGTAAGAAATCAATTTAACTTTCTCCCAGAGAAAACCGAGCATAAACATTCTCAGATAGTTTAAGAATTACTATCCTATTGTAAAGAAATGCCCTCTGTAATGCCAAGCACTGTACACTCAAACTGTCAATAACATGAGGCTAAGACCATGAAGATTGTGGTGGGACTGGGTGGCTGTCATGTCCCATCACTGACTGATTATTAGACATTATAGAAGCCATCTCACCCATCTACACCCTAGTTTTCTGCAAAATGGATCAATAACAATATATATTGATAACAATAAAAATAGCAAAACATGTAACAAAAGCATGGACATCGTTGACTGCATGGGGGTAACCTTTAAGTTCAGATAAGCAGACTTAGAACTAGGCCTGTTGCACACCTCCAAAGATTTTATTTCTTTTATTCAGAAAGTATGCACTGAGTCTTAAATAACTAAATGCCAGCCTTTGTGCCAGGCTCTAGGGCTCTGTTAGTGAAAGTAAGGCTCATAGCTTCACAACAGCACAAGCCAAGATCAACTCATGCCCTTATTCCTACCCGGTGATCCCACTTCCAATAATCTTGGGGCAAGTGCTAAATATAGAAGGCTGATTGCACAGAGATGCTGACACAGCACTGTCTTCACCAGGTACTATTGAAAGCAATATTCCCAGGTAACTGAGAGAGGAAACTATAGTCCATTTGATACAATAATATGTGCCCATCAGAAACCATGCGAATCAAATGTGTACTAAAGCATCAAAGAGTGTGTGCAGTTAAAGTAAAAACAAAGAAAAACAAAAGCCCCTCAAATACCATTCAAAGTAGGATAGACCATAAGATCATACCAACGTACCATAAGTAAACATCATGAACCTTATCACTAAGGACAACTGATCATGAATCTACAAAGCTATCCTTCTGTACTGATGCTCTGGGTTAGCTTCTGGTTTCAACCCTCAACTGTCTGTGTTTTTGCATTATTCAACTTAAATGTAATATCTGACTAGCAACTATCCAGTAAACAGCATTGTTGGTAATAATGATTATGTCAGTTATAATAACAGTCATTGATTGGCATAAAAATTGAATAGAAGGACCAAGGAGACCAATTGCAGAGAGTCTCCAGAACCCCCCACAAAAAGGACCTATCTTTGGACACTTGTAATCTCATTGACAACGGGGAGGTGACCCTGGGGCTGAGTCTTTTGCTGGCCAGTCAGCCTAGTCTTTACTCTGGGAGCTTCAGCCCACTAAAGGCCCCTATACAAAATAAACTTGAGGATCCACATCTGATGTTGCCCACCCCCCAGGCACACACAATCACACATGCATGACAGTCACACAGACCGAGGGAAGTCACTGAGTTGATGGGAGTGAAGAGAGAAACGGGTTGAGGCGGGAAAAGAAAATGGTTCTGTATTTCTGACCATTGCGAGGCTGAGCACAGACAAGTACTCCGCTGTGGCCCTCGTTACAGATAACCTTCAAAGGACCTGCACTGGGACAGTCATCATAGATCTGGATGGCTCCGGCTGGGAGACAGGCACAGACACCAGCACAGGTGGAGGTGGCAGCTCAGGAAGTGGTGGCAGCTCTTCTGGAGGTGACACAAGTGAAACTACTTCCACTGAGGAAATGCAAGTGTCCACAGGAGCACAGGACAGTGGCGGCAGTGGTGGCAATAATGGTGGCGGCAGCAGTGATACCTACGATAATGGTGATGGCGGCGGTGTTGAACGGCAGCCACCACCAGGAGACAATGTTCACCTGGGTCCTGCAGGCATCGGGCTGCTCGTCATGGGCTTCTTAATCCTAGGATGTAAGTACTTCAACACTTCTTTCGGCATGGGACTCTCAAAAACAATGGGGAAAGAAATAAGATTGTCCATTCTTCCATGAAATATAGCCTACATCCTCTTCCATTGTGTAGTTATCCAGAAATTTTTGTGCTTGATACTGAATTGACCGGGAGGGGGAAATCTACATATAAAGAGCCAAGAGCCTGAGAGGCATGGCATTGAAATAGAGAACTCCCATGGGGAAGAAATCAAGGAAGCCTGGCTGGAGCCTGGGGAATCTTGTGCAATGTAAGGCTGCAACGTTCAATGAAAAGAGCCAAAGATGGCAGGTGTTCAAATTGACAATGTGTCTTCCAAGGATTACCTAAGGATTCTGAGTTTTGCTGTTGTTCTTGCAAAATAATGACTGTTACTTCCCTCACAACAGCAGTAGACGGTGGAAAGCTGGTGAAGTCTGTGGCATGTCCCGGGGCCACTACAGTGGCCTTAGTCATGGGCAGAAAGACAAACAGAATCCAATGGATGTACCAGGTGGATTTTAACATTGCCCTGGACTATGGTGGAAACCGGGTCACAAAGGGGTAGTATCTTAAAGCCTACACACTGTCATTAACTTAACACAAATACTGACATTTGCAATTGTGTGTGGTAGCACACACCCTGCCACCCAGGCAGTTGTGGGTAGAGGCAGGAGGATCATGAAGTTTGAAACAAGCCTGGAAAATATACAGCAAAACTCCAAAACATTAATACAAAAATGTGAAAATTGCCATTTTCAAGTGTAGAATCATAAAATCTTGGTGGTAAAACATGCCTCATATGTTTAATTATTCACAAAATGTACACTGAGATAACACACATACAAAATTGTAAAATATTGTTTCTGCCTTCAATTCTCTTTTCAAAAAAAATATTTTTATTTCATGTTTTGCCTATACGTATATAAGCATAAAGTGCACAGGGCTGGTGCCCACAGAGGCCATAAGAGGGTGCCAGGAATCCCTTGGAACTGGAGCTATAGGTGATTGTGAGGTACAGAGCCCGATGACAGAACCTGGGTCATCTGCAAGAGCTAGAGCTCTCAGTCTCTGAACCACCCCTGTCTCTCCCCACTCCCCTACCCCGCTGCTCTTCATTCCTCTTAGGGAGTAAATAGCTACAAATGAATACATCTTCACTGGGTTTTCTCTGACTTTAAATGACTCACCTTTGAAACTTTTCATTGACATAGCTCCATCTAAACCACAAAGAAATTTGGGCATGCTGGGAGAACAATTTATAGCTAAGCACTTTCTCTAGAATGTGAAATACACTTTAAAAAAAAAAAAAAGAACATTCTGCATTAAGTAACAGAAATTCATCCCTATTGGCTTATAATAAATAGAAATAAGGACCAGGAGAAGTCTATGAGAAAGGTAATGAGTTAAAAAAATATACAATTTATTTTCATCAAAATGAACCAAATAAAAGAAGATGCAGGAATGCGGAATGGAATGTAAACTGATCAATAGCTGAGCTATCCCGCTACAATGTGTAGTCAATTCTTTGTTTTATTGAAACAAAAGAAATACCAACGAGCTGATGGTGACCACTATAAATAACAGCTAATTTTCATCTTCAGTTCCCCTAATATCAATGTCCAATATCAGAAGGTATGGCTAATAAAGGCTTTAAATGTTACCCACAAGGCTTAGGGTCAATGACTCTTCTCCCAGATAACAGATTTCCAAAACAAGCTAAACTCACCAACTTCTTTCCCTTCTCTTCCTTTCTATCCTCCCTCTCACCCATGGCCTTCTTTATTTCCTTCTACTATTTACACGTCTGTCCTTTCTCTCCATCCATTCAAAATAATCTACCAGATTCCATGACAAAAGTAAATACATGAGTGAAAAATCTCAAATGGATTAGAAAGAAAAGGCATTGGCAAAGGGTGATGGCCTCTATGTGAGAACTGTCAAAAAAAAGATGCCTCTGTGGGGGTGGGGGGAAGGAATTATAACCTTCATGAGGGTAACTGAGATGACTGAGATTTCCCCTTAAAATAGAGAAGTAAAAACAGAAAGGCAAATACAGGCAGGAGGGATCCAAAGTGCCGCCCGAATTCATCTTTCTTTAGTCTCTGCTGTGTTCTTGAGGGACGATGGGGGAAAGAAGCAACAATTTAAATCATGATTTTTATATAAAACAAATTAAAATTCTCTGCAGTCTGGTGTTTCCAAGCTCGGGCTTATCTGGGGGTCTGACCATTATTAACTTGCCACCCTCGCATTAAAATGGCAATTTTAAATTCAGACAGCTCGGGAATTCTAAGGATTGAAAAGCCAGACGGCTCTTTCAGCACAGTACTGCTAACGCCTTCCTTCTTTCTCTTCCTCAGTGGTACCATTCTTGTTGCTCTGCTGTGATTGTGGAGGTGCCCCTGGTGGTGGAGCTGGCTTTGAGCCTGTTCCAGAATGTTCTGATGGAGCAATTCACACATGGGCAGTAGAGGGCCCGCAACCTGAACCCCATGATGTAAGTGCTAACCTATAAGAGTGGGATTTGGGGACTCAATAAATCCCAGTCTCCAGACATGCCCTACGATGGTGGAAATCATTCAGTCTACACTGTTCTTGGTTCTTCGGTAGTGAGTGAGGAAAGGAAGAGGAGTAGAACATAACATCAAAATCCAGTAGAAGTCACCGGCCAAGGCTTAAACTTGAGATTCAATTTTTAAGTAGAATTCAAAAGCTTCCTAAATAGTATTCTTTTAGAAATTCTGTGACAGTTTATAAAATATATCAGTAGAAAAAGAGAAGACTCCTTACTAATAGGGAAATGTTGTCTCTTGTCTTTTAGGGTATAGCCGCCATCTGTGTGCCACAAATGCCACCTGGTAATGCCAATATTATAGAATGTATTGACAACTCAGGTAAGAAAAAGAGGGTGTTTCACTTTTGTTTTGTTTTGCTTCATTTTACTTATTCATTTTTTTACAGAGGAAAAAATAGGCTCATTGTTGGCACAAGTATAAACACTGGCCTATAAAAACTTTGGTTTAAATTCTTAAATCGAAAGCAAATAGACAAAACACTTTCAAAGCCTTCAGCTAAGGTTGTGCACACACAACGGAGTTTCTCTTTGCATGGTGTTACGATTGCATATCTGCAACTCATCTTTAACCAAATGTCTAGACTGATTCCCAAGCAGAAACCAGAAGTTGCTACTGTAATAAAAAGAACAATGAAAGAAACTTCTTCTACCAACATAGTCCCACTGTTTTATATTTTTAGAAATAGCCTTACTATTTTATCTTTTTAACAGCAAATATTACTTATTCCCTGACTTTTCTTTTAATCTTTTGAGCAATTATTATTTTTTAAAGACTTTGTTATTTTTATTTTATATGCCAGGTTGTTTCTTTGTACAATGTGTGCAGTGCCCTCGGAGGCCAGAAAGGTGCATCTGATCCTTTGGGGCTGTAGTTACAGAGAGTTGTGAGCTCCTATGTGGGTGCTAGGAACCAAACTCAGGTCCTCTGCAAGAGATCCAGTGCTTTTGACCATTGAGCCATCTCTTCAACCCCTATATAACTCCTTTTCTACTTTGAACACTCTAAAATGCACCAAACATAGGAATGTTTCTGTTTTGTAGAATTGGATTCAATGGTCTGTGTATCTCCTTTATAATAGATCATCAGTCCTGTTTCTCATTCTGATGAGTCCATTTTTGTTATTGTTGCTAATATCTCACCATACAGAAAACAGAAACTCACTGGATCACATCTGCCCCATTAGTCCCCAGTTAGTTCCTAAGAACCATCAACTCATCAAAATCACCAATATTTATTTATGCATTGATTTTTTCATTAAGTCTAAAGTAGCATGGAAGACATCAGGATAACTGGAATATGAAATGTGCCCCCCAACTCAAATTAGGATGCTGTGACCAGAGGCGTGCATCCTACATTGATGTGTCCCTTCTGTTCACCTTTTATTTTACTTCTTCAATCATATATCACGCTTCTCCCCAATCTTCACATCCAAGTGTTTTCCCAAGATGGTTCTAGAAGCCATTTCTCATTGCAACTATGGCCTCTTTCAGAAACCCAGGGGCCTGCCTTCTGCAGGATGTCATGTGCATCCAGGAACACACCAGGACTATATGATATTGTTTTTTAACTTTTAGAATTAGAGCTACTTACTTAATTCAATCTGAGGTCAAACTATTCAGCCTACAAATTTTTATTATTCCGTTGCCCTTCTGTCGACACATCATGTAGAAAAGGCTGTCAACAGATAATTAAAATTAGCAAACTGATTAATATTAATGTTTCATTAATATTATTTTGAATTAAATATCATAATTATCTATTCTCTATGCATCACCTTCATCCCCTCTCTACTCACAAATAAATACACCTTGAAGGAAGAAACTACACATGATAGTAAGTTAGTTTTTAGCTTATATTACACTAGAAAGATTAAATTTGATGTGTTCAATGTCTTTAGGAGTTTATACAAATGAGTATTGTGGCAGAGAAATGCAAGATCTGGGAGGAGGAGAAAGAACCACAGGATTTGAACTAATGGATGGAGTTAAAACATCAGCTGCACCTGAGATATGCCAAGAATATCCAGGAACATTAGGAAGAAATTCAATGAGAGAATGTAGAGATGGAGGTCTCAATATGAATTTCATGGAAAGTTACTTCTGCCAGGTAAGGCTTTTAGCCACATGCTTTTCTCTCCATCCACCATCTTCCAAGCCTTCACAAGCTCTCCTAAGGACCTCGGCCCTCTTATACATTCCTATTCACCTTTCAAGATTCAGTTCAAATATCACCACGTACTTGAAGCTTTAGCAGGATCCACATTTTTTCCATGCTTGCTATGTTTTCTTTTGAACACAGTTTATAAAATTTATTGTTACTAAAAATTTGCTAGTTTATGGGTACTATTTTTAATCCCAACCCATGAATTACTTACATGATATGGCCAAGAAAACCTGAATCCAAAATCAAATTGTTTCATTTTGCCAAATACATATGTATGTGTGTGTGTGTGTGTGTGTGTGTGTGTGTGTATGTGTGCGTGTATCTAGATTAGTGATAAAGCAGGCATGTGTGTATTTTTTTCAAGTGATTTTTGTGTTCAAAGTGTATTATTTTAAGCAAGTTCACCTAAAGAGAATTTTAAAAATCAAAACATACTGGATATGTAGCTAAAATAACTTCAAACTGAATTCCTCATGCATCTATGAAATCATGTTTAGAGTAATTCTAGTGACTATTAGATACATTCAGCTTTAAAAATGTTGTAACTGTTCATTTCATTTTCCTGTACAAATTCAGAAAGCTTATGCTTATGCGGATGAAGATGAAGGACGCCCATCCAATGACTGTTTGCTCATCTATGACATTGAAGGTGTAGGCTCCCCTGCAGGCTCCGTGGGCTGTTGCAGCTTCATTGGAGAGGATTTAGATGAAAGCTTCCTGGATACCTTGGGGCCCAAGTTTAAGAAGTTGGCAGACATCAGCCTGGGAAAAGAAATAGACTCATATCCAGATCCCGAACCTTCTTGGCCTCCTCAAAACACCGAACCAATATGCCTCCAACAAACAGAGCCCCTTACTAGTGGACACCCACCCATCTCCCCACATTATGGCACTACCACAGTAATTTCTGAGAATACCTACCCCTCTGGCCCTGGTGTACAACATCCTATGCAGATTCCTGACCCTCTAGGCTATGGGAATGTCACTGTGATGGAGTCATATACTACCTCTGGCACCCTGAAGCCCTCTGTCCACTTTCATGATAACCGACAGGCTTCAAATGTGGTGGTGACAGAGAGGGTAGTGGGCCCCATCTCTGGTGCTGATTTGCATGGGATGTTAGAGATACCCGACTTAAGAGATGGATCAAATGTTATAGTGACAGAAAGGGTAATAGCCCCAGGCTCAAGTCTGCCCACCACTCTGACCATTCCTAATCCTAGAGAGTCTTCAAATGTGGTTGTGACAGAAAGAGTGATTCAACCAACTTCCAGCATGATGGGCAACCTGAGCATGCCCCCTGAGTTATCAAATACCCACAATGTGATTGTGACGGAGAGGGTGGTTTCCGGGGCTGGCGTAAGCGGAATTAGTGGCCCCACTGGCATAGGCGGCAGCCTGGTTAGCACCACCATGGGTGCTGGTGGCGGGGGTCTAAGTGGGGCTGGAGTAGGTGGTGGCAGCACTGGGCTGAGCAGCTTTAGTGGAGGCGGGGCCCTGAGCAGCATGGGCGGGACAGCCACCATTGGCCACATGAAGAGTTCTTCCGACCATCACTTTAGCCAGACAGTTGGATCTGCCTCACCTAGCATGGCTCGAAGCCGAATCACAAAGTACAGTACGGTACAATATACCAAGTAGTCAGGGTCCCAGAGTACTGTTCACCGTTGTCACGGTGATTTACACTCAACTCCTGCCCCCTCAACCCCCCCCCCCCATCTAACAGTGCAATTTATGATGCAGAGCAGGTTAGAGGAGACCTGTGGAGTAAAAGCCACAGTGAGAGTAACAAATGGAAACACTACGTGGGGGAGAAGGCTCCCTAGCACTGGTAAACTCTTATGTTAACACTAATGAAGTAACCACAGTGAAACTGAGGCAGTCTTATTCGTGGCTATGTGGTCTACAGGGTTGTTTGTTTGTTTGTTTACTCTGTGTAGGGTATATCACCATCATGTTGAATAAATAAAATGTGGTTATGTAAAAGCATTGGCTTTAAAATGGCAATTGGAAGAATCCTTCTTGCTGTTCAGAAATTTACCAGAAAAGATTTCAATGTGTAACTTGTGGTCACTTAGGTGAAGAAAATCTGTTTTTTCTTCACATATGCCAAAATTAACCAAAAAAGATTACGGTGTACAGCTTGTGGTCACTCCGTTTTCCTCGCTTATTTATACCTTGTCTGTTTCACAGACTCAGGCCAAGGGTAATGGAATTCTAACTACATACTTAATCATATAAGAAGACCCCAGTTATTCTTATCTTGACCACATCTAAACTGCATTTGATGGAATAATTTTCAAATTAAGAAATGTATCCTAGGAGGGAACCCACTAGCGATAGGGTAAGACTTATTTGGCACAAACTGAGCCTGAATCTCAAGATGGGGTTTCAGTTAAGTTTCCTGTCGGAGTTAAGGACTTTGTTAGGTTCCGGTTGTGTTTCGTAGGTGTGATTTTGAAGAATGTTGCTTACTGGGGGTGGGGGCGTGGTTTTAGGGCACAATGTTCATTTTTCTCTTCACCACTGTAGTGAATTAGTAATAAAGGAAAGTTGCCAAATTTACCTTAAACTAAAGCAAGTGGTCATGACGTGGCTGCCATCACCGGTGTTTAATCACCTCCTAAGTACACGGACAGGGCTGTATTGTATCTTCAGTGTAAGCAGTTAAGTGACACTCCTTCGCAGCTCTTTAGTGCATAATTCCAAAGCTAAAATAATTTACTTATGCGGGGTTGGGGGTGAGGAGCCTGCAGTATGGCTAAGCTTTGAGGGAATTTTTAAGGGGATCTAAGGGGGGGAGACTGTTTTTAGAACATAAAGATTGTCTTGAGTGGGAAATGTTAGGAAAGAATTATTTGTTCAGTAAAGGAATGCCACACTGTTAGACACAATTGAGATCGGTGCTTTTCTTGAGTGGCACTCTGCTGCCATTTGGAAGTGGTCAACAGGACCCTTTCCCAGAGCTGATGTTACCTAGGAAAGAATAAAAACAGTTACTGGACAAACCCATTCCTTAACTAAAAATTTTCATGCACAGAACTTTGAAAATTCTTCATATAATTTGTCTGTAATCTCTTGGCTTCTAAGTGTTCTGACTTAAAGACAGTTTACAAGTTATGATATATTTTTCTAGCTTTGAAATTTAGTAATGTGCTATTTATGATGTGTTGTCCCTGTATATTTGCCATAAGATGTTAACTGACTTAACAATCACTCAGAGGAAACAAAGCCTTATGAGAGACAGGTGCATTTTACTATTGCAAGGTAAAGGAATCGTTTCTTGTTTAACAATGTTAAAATAAGGGCTCTAAAGTCAAATGGGATATGGCAAAATAAAAATAGAGAAAATGCTGGCCCTGGAGTTGTGAATTACATACAACATTTAACATTTATTTCTCTCCTCATTACTCATTTCTCAGGTTGTTGTAGAATCACAGCATCATTATATAACTTCCAGTCCTTGTCAAAGATCTAGGAGTGATTGATTAGTCCAGCAAAAACTACTTTGTTATATATAAGAGTAGATGCAGTGAATATTGTAAAAGCCACAGTATGTCTAATTTTAACTGTGTAGAACATGTAAAATTTTGTTAACTTGTAATAAGCCAAAATTCAGAGGTGTAAATAAAGTCAGTCAAAGGGAGTCTTCATTTTGTTCTAACATTTAGGGTAATGTCATTTTTTTTTTTAAGAAATAAAACTCAAAAGGTATTTGTTGAAATATACTTGAAGATGCTTCAGTTTGGAAGTTTGAACAGATAGAAATAATATAATCTTACTTACTTCTTCCAAAGGAAAGGCCTCTGACTACATAAAGTGTATTCATTGTCTTAATATGTTGTATTCCTTTCTCTTAGACATCTGATCAATTCCAAAAATTGTTTTAGAGCTTGTCTAACAAATGACAATAAGGCCACCTTTAATAAATGTGATTAGCATTCATCAGTTATATAAGACCTGGGGAAATAAAATTTTAAATGGAGAATTTGTCTCCCATCTTCCTAGGAACGTTAACTTCAGATCGAAATATTTTTTTCATTGTTATACAACTATGTCTGGTTTAGTCCTGCACCCTACAATATTTGTTTTAGTCTTGTAACCATTGAAAGGCAGGTGCTCACAAATGACCTTTGGCCAGGATTTTGCTCCTCTCTTTCAGGGAGTTAATCTGAATCACAGGTGTTATTCCACAGATATAGAAGAGACACAGAACCTTAGATTCATAAACCAGGCTGAATCTTAAACCAACATGTTTCCAACTAAAGGAAAAAGAAGCAAATAACAACATAATGCTATTCATGTGTGGTTTGAAAATAAACCACAATGCAACACCTGGCTCTCTGAAAAGGCAGTCTCTAGGGACAAAAAAAAGATGTGTCACAACAAATTCTTTACTGTTGACTATGAACCAAATGGCATGCTCAGCTAATTTTGACATATAACTTCGGAAATGTCTATTGTGTGCTGTTTACCTTCTTAGATGCACTACATTTGCACAGAAAATTTCACAAAATTATGTATTCATGATATAAGTCCATCTGGACATCTGTTCAGCATTATATATAAAGACTGCAGTGTTCTATTTCACTCAAGGTAATGTGCTAACTGAATTTTAATTATGTTTTCAAAAATCAAACTTTCTATATTAAATAGATGCTTGTAGTTACACCATTTATTTCTGAATTCATGCCAAGATTTGGTTGACAGCCAAGGTAGAGCTTGCGTGGTGTTAGCAGAACCTTAAAAACATTATAGTCTCTTTTGGAAAGACATTGAAAATCCAAGTGAACTCCCAAGTGCTTAGCATGCTGTCATACATGTTTAACAAGCCCCAGCCCTTGGGATAGTTCTGATGTTCATAGGCTCCATTGCACGTTGCCCTGGGGTAGTCATAGTATAGCTCTCACACCTGTGAAACTCAGTCTGCCTCCTGCCTCCAGATAACTCATTTTTTGTTAGGACAAAGCTCAAGTACATCAACCTACCATCCACCAAATACTTTAAAGTAGCAACTAATTTATTGGAATTTATTGTTTAATTCTCTATATTCCCTTCCATTTAGCTGTCCTTGCATAAACACCTTATGACCAAAATGTACTTACTTTAACATATTTTTCTGACACTGTTTTCCCAAGCATTTGAAATTCTCATATCCACTTCTAGCAGGGTTTAAAGATAAGGTGCTTTCTTTCACTATAAACATTTGGGAATGATATGGATGTCATCATCTCCTGACTATTTTAAGACAGTTTGTAATTTCTGAATAGTTGTGTTTACAACAATAAAATGATTGATATGCCTCTATTGTCTTTCTGGAATTATATGGTTGGGGAGATTTTAGATTAGAAGAAATAATTAAAATGTATCAAATCCAGCTATTATTTTAATTCCATATTCAGGGAGATCATTATTCTTCCTGTCACAGTGTTTGCGTACATTTTTATTGTCCTTTGCTTAACTTCCTCTCGTTTTGTGTCACTGCCTAGTGACAACACAGAGCAGCTGTCACCAGTAGGATAGACACACCCACAAGTACAGATGAAAGCAACCCCAAGGCTGGCTTTAAACTTTTTAAAAGAGACAGCGTTTCTTTTACACAGAAGCACTTCTGTAAACAACAATGCTAAAACAGCAATAACCCATGCTTGAGGCCAATGTGTGTTTGATACCTTCCCCTTAACCCCTGGCATTTGCTGGGACTCTCACAAATGAGACTCTTAGCTCTGTGGACAGTGAAGATATCCTAGCTTCCTGCATCCTTTCCATCTACACTCCCATCTCAACAATTGTAAGCCAATGAGATGACCTGCTGGAACCACTCCATGATTTCATTGCAATTGCTTAGCAGCCATTTAAAACAATAACTTCATAAATTCCCCAATCCTGCCTATTGCTGTTGCAAAGAGCAGGGAGTACAGCTGCCCTTTGAGAAGCCCACAGCCACCCTCTCCGGCACACCTTATTCTTTCTTTCCCTCAGTATTTCTGTCTGTGAACTGACATTCTTAAATCTGTGGGGAAAAAAATGCCTTTTAATAAACTCCAGCTGTGCTTTGCACTGGCTCATCGTCAAACTGCTTTCTGCGATAAAACCAACGATTGGGGTTTACCCAAGACCACAAATCTCTGAGGGACATTTTACATTCAAACCACAATCTTACCGCCCTGGCCCCGTGGGCTGGTGGCCAGCTCGTGGTAGAGGAGGCTTTCGTGGCAACCTCAAGAGTTTCCCCAGCCTGTCCTTATCTGTTTGGTTTGAGTTTTATGTCTTATTAAAATATACTAATTATCCATAAGTATGTGTTCCATTATATTTTCATATGTATGCATGTATAATATTTTTTAATCATATTTAACCCTCCTCCCATTTTACTCTCCAGCCCCAATCTGACTCTCACCAATCTCCTTCCTCTTCTCCTCTAGCTCCCTTTCTACTTTCATGGTGTGTGTGGGTGGGTGTGGGTGTGGGTGCACGTGTGTGTGTGTGTGAGAGAGAGAGAGAGAGTGTGTGTGTGTCTGTGTGTATGTGTGTCTGTGGGGGGAGGGTATATCTGTGTAGGTGTGTGTGTGTGTGCATGTGTGTGTGTGCGCGTGTGTGTGCGCGCGCGCGCCAGTGTGTTTCATTGGGGTTGGCTATATGAGTGCAGGTGAGATT